CCTGCTGGGCGTGGCCAAGTCAGGAGCCAGCCGGAACTCTGTTCCTGTGCGTTCCTGCCCAAAAACATCCCTGGGCGCAGCTAATCTAAAGTTCACACAGACATGTCTCAATCACCCCTCCCGTAAGAATGTCAGAGGAGGGCCTTGAACATAAGAACATAAGAGACGCCAATGTTGGATCAGGCCAAAGGCCCACCCAGTCCAACACTCTGTATCACATAGTGGCCAGAAATACCAGGTGCCATCAGGAGGTCCACCAGTGGGGCCAGGACATTAGAAGCCCTCCCACTGTTGACCCCCCCCCCAAGCACCTTGCAGACAGATTGATACCATGCCGGCAGGTGCTAAATGAGATCTTGGGAACTACAAGCGGGGAGTGAAACAGCAGGCAAAAGAATAACAGAGCACAGCTATGTACATCAGAGAGCCACAGTTACATATATGATGACGCAGTGACCGAAGCAAGGATCCGATTCTGACAGTGGGGGGACTTAGCAGGACCAGGAGGGAGGCCTAGGCCACGTCACCAGCAAGATTTTATTTATTCATTCATTCATTGAATTTATATCCCGCCCTCCCTGCCAAGGCAGGCTCAGGGCGGCTCACATAAAATACAAAACAAAACAAAATTAGATAAAAACAGAACAATATAATCATGAACATTATAAAATATAAAGTGCTAGTTCATGTTAGATGGCGGGCTTAGCCGCGTCCTCAATCCGCAATAGCCTAGTCTGGGTTAACTGGCTGTTGACAATGTTGACAGTTAGCTGCTGTAGATTTTCCGGGGTCGTGTGGCCGACATTATTGTGCATTATTTAGCATGTGTGAAAGATCAAAATGTAACATGCTATCTGGCCCAGACCACGGCCACGCAACCTGGAAAATCTACAGCAACTAATGAACTCCGGCCGTGAAAGCCTTCGACAAAATGTTGTCAGTGTTGGGTCAGGGCTACAATTTCTTGGGTGCGGCTCCCTGGGGACTTGGGATCCCTACTGGTAGAAGAGTTCCATCTTGCAGGACCCGCAGAACTGTAAGAGGTCCCGCGGGACCCTGATGTTTTCCAGGAGCTCATTCCAACATGGCGCCGTTACTTCAGCGTGTGCCAGAAATGACATCATCACGTCAGCGACGCCCAGGCAACACTCTGGTGTTTGGCCAAAAACTCTGTGGTAGAAGCCATTTTCACCATAGAGTTTTTGCCCAGATACCAGAGCGTCGCCATGTTGCCGGAACCTGGGCCTCCCTCCCGCTCCTTGTAAGTCTCCCCCATCCCCTGCTGGTTGCTGGGAGGCCCTGGCAACCCTCTCTCTAGGGGGCTGCTGGACTCGACTCTAGCAGAGCAGGAACCTTGGAGGTTGCACAGCTAAAACATGGAACAAAATATGCCTGTTCATTGCAAAGTGCACAGTGATGGCAAATGAAAAACAACGTTCATAGAATGTAGTTTGGTGTAGTGGTTAAGTGCGCGGACTCTAATCTGGGAGAACCGGGTTTGATTCCCCACTCCACTTGCACCTGCTGGATGACCTGGGGCAAGCCATAGTTCTGTCAGAGCTGTCCTTGAAGAGGAGCAGTTTCTGTCAGAGCTCTCTCAGCCCCACCTACTTCACAGGGTGTCTGTTGTGGGGAGGGGAAGGGAAAGGAGTTTGTACGCCGCTCTGAGACTCCTTTTGGTAGTGAAGGGCGGGGTATAAATCTAGTCTCTTCCTCCTCCACCACCACCTCCTCCTCCTCCTCTTCTTCTTCTTTCTCCTCCTCTTCCTCCTCCTCTTCTTCTTCTATAGTGTGGTACCATGCGCAGGGTCATATTGGACTGTGACCGTGCCGTGTACCTGGACTCTAATTTGCCCAGTTCTCCCGAGCATCCATCCATTCCACCGCTAAACTGTAGCCCGTTTCTGTTGATCATAACGATGGCACACGATCCAGCGGAAAGCGCCTTCTCACTAAACGCCAGCTCTGGTGTTCGGCTCAGTGCCTCAGGACTAATCCGCTTCGGCGAAGATAAAAACTTTAAATGGATGCTTTCTTTCATTCTCTGACTCTTAAGCATGGGGGTCCGTTGTAGAATTAATGCCCCCAAGTTAATCATCATGAAGTTGGACATAATGCTTAGGGTTTAGCTAATGGAACTTAATCGTGTTTGGAAGCGGGGTGGGTGGGTGGGAGCAAAGGAGAATCAAAACCTGTAGTTCGGTTTCAGCCCCCGAGCTCCCCCGCAACCCAGATAAAGGCGCTCGCTCTGGTGTGCAGCAAAGGAATAACATTTCTCTTCTCCCCCCGTTCTCGGTAGCGGTGAACACGAAGGAAGCCTGCGGATGAAGACGGAATTACTGGTGCAGATGGACGGCCTGGCCCGATCGGATGATCTCGTCTTTGTTTTAGCGGCTTCCAACCTGCCGTGGTAAGAGATCCGGAGAGTCCGTTTTGAATACATTTGCATGAGCCTCTAAACACAGATAAAGTTGTTTTTTTTGTACTCAGACTGCGGAGAGCAGCTGAAGCCTTGATGTTTGGTTAAAGCCTTTAAAGATTAATTTGGAGCTTTTCAAACTTTTTTTTTTTTGCTTCTGCCGTTCTTGTCGGTCTGAGCCGCGGCAGGGCCTAATCCCCCCTGTCGAGTCAACATCTGCCAGTTGGATCCAGCTGTGAATATTTAAAAAGAGAGCATTTGACTCCATAGCCCAAGTTATTTACTACGGCTGAGCTAAAGAAGGGCTTGGGCGGAGGACTCTTAGGTGCTTAAACCATCCCCGGGGGGCTCAGCGAAGATACGCTCTATAAATAGGGAGGCTGGGGTTTTATTGGTATTAAAAGGTGACTTTTAAAAGTTTGAGGATAAAAGCCCTTCGGTCTCGTTTTAATGACTCGCCTGTCTAGAGAAAGAAACGGCCCGCAATGGGGGAAGGGAATATTTATTTATTTATTTTATTTTTCGCATTTATATCCCGCCCGTTAGGTAAACCAGTTTGGTGTAGTGGTTAAGTGCGCGGACTCTAATCCGGGAGAACCTGTTCTTCCAGATTAGAGTCCACGCACTTAACCAGTACACCAAACTGGCTCCCTGTCTGAGTAGACGCTATTGACTGTGATGGACTGATGTTCTGATTCAGTATGCGGCAGCTTCAGGTGTTGGCGTATCGCTAAATCCACACCGTGATTCGGTAGACTCTGGCAGCTACACAGAAGTTGGCAACTCTGTCCGAGGTTCCAGATTCAAGGTCTGCAAGAAGAAAGGAGGCCCCTGGTCCCTCCAATCTTCCTGGGATTTTTTGGGAGGATTCGTGTGATAAGTATAGGTAAATTCTCCCAGTAGCATAAGGGCATCAATGCTCGTGAAGTGGCATTCCACGGTGTCGCCCTTCCAATAAAGCAGATGCTCCGACTGCGTATGGTGGCCTGGAAGGGGCTTGTCAACACTTCTGCCTGGGACTGCATGAAGAGAGAAGCGGCAAAGAAGAGGAGGAGGAGGAGATTGGATTTATACTCTGCCCTTCACTTGGAGTTTTAGAGTGGCTTACAATCTCCTTCTCTTCCCCTCCCCACAACAGACACCTTGTGAGGGACTGAGAGAGCTCTTTCGAGGACTGCCCTTGAGAGAACAGCTCCGAGAGAACGGTGACTGACCCAAGGTCACTCCAGCAGCCGCACGAGGACTTGAACCTAGTAAAACCTAGCCCCCGGCAGGCTACAGCGCACAGCCTAGTGGGTTGTGTTCAGTTGGGAGGGCCGCAGTGCTCCGTTGCAAGGCAATAAGTGCAAAGGGATGTTGGACAGTGTGGGAGCTCTCCCCAAGGAATGAGATCTGTGTCGTTTGTGGGAGGCTTGTGGCTCGGGTAGAGCATCTGGTTGGCCCACAGAAGGCCCCAGGTTGAATCCCCAGCCTCTCCAGTTAAAAGGACCAGGTAGGAAGTGATGTGAAAGACCTCTACCTGAGACCCCGGAGAGCTGCTGCCAGTCCGAGTGGACAATACTGATTTTGATAGACCGATCTTCAAATTCAGTAGATTCAGACTCACGCATGTGAGAGCCATTTTGGTGTAGGGGTTAAGTAAAGTAAAGGTAAAGGTTCCCTTGCTCGAAAGCCAGTCGGGTCCGACTCTAGGGTTGTGGTGCTCATCTCCGTTTCCAAGCCGAAGAGCCAGCGCTTTCCAAAGACGTTTCCGTGGTCATGTGGCCGGCATGACTAGATGCCAAGGCGCATGAAACGCTGTTACCTTCCCACCAAAGTGGTGTGACCTTGGGTCAGTCACAAGTTGGACTAGGTGACCCTGGAGGTCCCTTCCAACTCTGATTCAAAGTTCTCTCTGAGCTGTTCTCTCAAGAGCAGTCCTTGAAAGAGCTCTCTCAGCCCCACCTACCTCACAGGGTGTCTGTTGTGGGGAGGGGAAGGGGAAGGGGATTGTAAGCCACGCTGAGACTTTGAGTAAAGGACGGGGTATAAATCCAACTCTTCTGCTTCTTCTTCTGCTGCTTCTTATTCTTCTGCTGCTGCTTCTGCTTCCTCTGCTTCTGCTGCTTCTTCTGCTTCTTATTCTTCTGCTGCTGCTGCAACTTTTGCTTCTTATTCTTCTTCTGCTGCTGCTTCTTCTGCTTCTGCTGCTTCTGCTGCTGCTTCTTCATTCTAGAAACTCTGAGCCCAGGCAGCGTTTAAGCCCAATGGACTGAGAAACTCTTTTCCCTTCTGCAGAGGTTAGCATGTCAGACTTTGATCTGGGAGAACCCTCTGGGAGAACCCGTTTCAGAGCCCTACACTGCTGATGAAGCTTGGGATAGTCCCACAACTCTCTGCCTAACCTAGCTCACAAGGTTGTTTTGAGGCCGTCATGGGAAAAGAAGATCCGTTCTGCCACCCCGAGCTCCTTGGAAGAAGGGCGGGAGAAGAGTGTGCCAGAGCATGAGATTTCTCTTTCCTCCTCCAGGGAACTGGACTGTGCCATGCTACGCAGGCTGGAGAAGAGGATCCTGGTCGATCTCCCCAGCAGAGAGGCGAGGAAGGCGATGGTCCAGCACTGGCTTCCTCCCGTCAGCAACAGTGGGGGAGTGGAGCTGAGGACAGACTTAGACTACGCCGTGCTCAGTCAGGTGAGGAGGAAGCAAGGGTTCGGCATCTCGCCCTAGTTCACAAGGAGGCAAAGCAGGCCCATAGCTAAGGTGGGGCTTTTGGGGGCTCCGCCCCCTTTCTTAAAGGCACAGCCCCACAAGAATTTCTCCTGGAAATGCTTTTTTCAGTCATTGCTAAACATATTTTAAAGGCGTGCACTAAGTAGAGTGGGGTGCTGTAGTTGACTAATTCCCGCACTGAGCAAGGGGGTTGGAGTAGGTGACCTCTAGGATCCCTTCTAACTCTGTGTCAAGAAACTGGTCTCCTTCAAGAGAGTTTTTCTGCCTAAGTGTTGACTTCCTGGACTATAGAAGTCAACACCCCCACCTGCCGGGTTGTTCTCAGAATTGTTGCTCAGGCCGGCAGAAACGATTAACTCGCAGCAACTGAGAACTGTCACCTAAAGTGGTTGACAGCTTACAATTGAGAGATCCCTCCTGGTCTCAGCTTTCCATTGGCTACGTGGCTTTTCTTCCCGCACTGGGAACTTCAGCCCCACCAGAAAAAATTCCGCCCCACAAGCCACAAAATCCTGAGGCAAAGTAACCGAGGAGCAGGGGTCGTGGCTCGGTGTTAGAGCATCTACTTGGCCTGCAGAAGGACCCAGATTCAATCTCCGGCATCTCCATTTAGATGGCTCGTTCACATGGAACGATCCCTGGAAAAGGTTTCCGTTCTTCTGCACCAACACCACTTCCCCCCATGAAACCCTACTTTAAGAAAACTGTGGCACATCTCCTACAACCGACAAAGGAGAATAAAATCACCCCTAGGCAAACTAAGATCATGGCATCCGGCCCCATCACTCCTTGGCAAATAGAAGGGTACCGCACAGGGTGTCTGTTGTGGGGAGGGGGAGGGAAAGGAGTTTGTCAGCCGCTCTGAGACACCTTTGGGTAGTGAAGGGCGGGGGATGAATCCCATCTCCTCTTCTCTTCTTCTTCTTCTTAAAAAAATAAATAAATATTTATTTGTTTTTGCCGCCACAGATCAAGGGAAGCCATGGCAGCCATTTTGTGGCTGGGCCCGCCACGTTACCATAAAACATCTAAAAACAGTTCAGTAGGTGTCCCGGTCCCGGGACGTAACCCACACCCCCCAGGGACCCCAAAGACCACCAACTCACCCAACAGACCCACAGACCAAGAAGATCTCGCAGCACCCCGTCAACACCGCCGAGACACAACGGCCCGGACAAGCCCGACCGCAGAGATTCACGAGGAGCAGCAGGGGAAGCCGACAACGCCAAGGAGAGTCTGGTGGCAAACACACACACACACACACACACAAGACCCTGCATGCCAACGGCAGTGGCGCAGCCTCCAACCGACAGGACCGCCGCCGGCATAGCTCTGACCACACCCAGGCCGTAGGGACGGCGTCGGAGCTCATCATGGGAGAAGAAGAAGAGAAGAGATTGGATGTATACCCCGCCCTTCACTACCCAAAGGTGTCTCAGAGTGCCTTACAAAAGAGAGGCGCAGGGGCCGGGGAGGAAGGACGTGCTTGGGACTACCTGACGGAGGCAGAGAGAGAAGGAGCCGATGCACAGAGGTAGAGGGACTTATGGAGTGTCGTTAACTCCGTCCCCTACCCATCTGAGGCCCCAACGCTCCCCCCTCTTCTTTAACAGGCCTCTACTTCCAGAGCCATTGGGCCTCCCCCACCTTGAGCCATCACGGCCACAGGAGGGTCCACGCCAGGAACACAGGGCGGGCTTGACATTAAGAGAATACAATATTAAAGTGCTAGCAGCGTTCTTTGGGCATCATAAAGATGGCGGTACCGCATGAGTGCAAACCATAAATTGTCTAAACGTTCAGCTCGCCGATCTTCTCAGATATAATCGGCGGGTGCAGGCTATAAGTAGCAAACCAAGGGCCAGGCTCTGTAGGTTTCAGTTGTCATTGATAATGGTGGCGGCTCCTAGTTGAAGGCCTGGCGGAAGAGCTCCATCTTACAGGCCCCGCGGAACTGTGAAAGGTCCCGCAGGGCCCTGATCTCTTCCGGGAGCTCATTCCACCAGTATGGAGCCCCCAGCGAGAAAGCCCTGGCCCTGGTTGCAGCAAGCCTGGCCTCCTTGGGGCCTGGGAGGGCCAATCAGGCAAGGGTGAGTCCAAGGTTAATCCCAGCAACTAGGAATACAGGCATGAATAATGAATGGCTTGTGACCTCCCCAAAAAAGTCTTCCGCATTCTCAGAATGTGTGTGTAGGCGCAAAACGTTGGGGGCTACAGTGTCATATTAGGATCTGGGAGACTTCGGTTCGAATCCCCACCAGCTGTCTGTAAAAGAAAATTAGTGCAAATGACCAGCCGGCTGAAATGTTTTAGGTGGGACAAAGGACAGGAGAGGGGCAGGAGACCTGGGGGTGTTTCCCTCCTTCTTGAGGGCACGATTCTGGGGGGGGGGATGGGATTGGGAAATAGGAATGAGAACAGACACAGGCACGGTAGTTTTCACCACTGTCTTCCCTGCGAAGCCTAACCCTTTTCTTGACACCCTCATAAATTCCCGTGGCATTCCAAACATAAGTTAAAAAATGCATCTTTAAAATGACCTTCAGTGGGGAGTTTGTAGAGATGGAAGTATATATATATTTTTTCTGACCGCACACTAGGAGATGGAAGGCTACTCCGGCTCTGACATTAAGCTGGTCTGCAAAGAGGCGGCCATGCGCCCCGTCAGGAAGATCTTCAGCGCACTCGAAAACCACCAGCCAGGTATGGAGACGTTCACTGTTAACGTAGGTTCGGGCTCTGCCTGGATAGGAAGGGCTTCAGGCAGGATTTGGCGATGGCTCCTGCTGGTAAACCTGACCTAGGCTTCCAGGGGGGGTAGCCGTGTGTTGGTCTGAAGCAGCAGAACGAAGTTTGAGTCCAGTGAAACCTTTAAGACAACCAAGGTTTATTCAAGGTATACGCTTTTGTGTGCTTGTGGAAGCACACTTCTTCAGATACATCTTCACTGTATCTGAAGAAGTGTGCTTGCCAGGCCCGTAGCTACAATGGGGCTTTTGGGAGCTCCGCCCCCTTGCTTAAAGGCACAGCCCCACAAGAATTCCTCTTGGAAATCTTTTTTTCAATCATTTTTAAACGTGTTTTTAAAGGTGTGCGCCCCTTTTAGCAGAGCGGGGTGCTGTAGTTGACTAATTCCCACACTGAGCAAAGGGGTTGGAGTAGGTGACCTCTAGGATCCCTTCTAACTCTGTGTCAAGAAACTGGTCTCCTTTAAGAGAGTTTTTCTGCCTAAGGGTTGGCTTCTTTGACTATAGAAATCACCCTCACCTGCCGGCTTGTGATCACAATTGTTGCTGAGGCTGGCAGAAGTGATTAACTTGCAGCAGCTGAGAACTGTCATGTAAAGTGGTTGACAGCTTGCAATTTATAGATCCCTCCTGGTCTCAGCTTTCCATTGGCTAAATGGCTTTTCTTTCTGCACTGAGAACTTCAGCCCCATCAGAAAAAAATTTACCCCACAAGCCACAAAATCCTGGCTACGGGCCTTGTCCGTGCACACAAAAGCTTATATCTTGACTAAAATTTTGTTGCTCTTAAAGGTGCCCCTGGACTCAAACGTTTTCCTTCCAGGGGCAAGTGATTGATTGCACAGATTTGCACACACCAGCAGGTGGCAGCGTTCTGTTTCCTTACAGACAATACTGATTTTGATAGGTGTAGAATAGGTATGTTGACTTTCTCCAGTCTCCCTTGTAAATGTAGTCCACAAAGTATGTAGTCCTTGTCCTCTTTGAGAAGAGAATATCCTGCTAGAACAGTGATATTCATTGGTGCCACCTGTGGCTCTTCTGAACACTGTTCTCCTTGGCACCTGCCCTGTGATTCAGGAGGCTTGTTTGGTGTAGTGGAGAAGTGCGCGGACTCTAATCTGGGAGGACTGGGTTTGATTCCCCACTCCTCCACTTGCACCTGCTGAATGACCTTGGGCAAACTGTAGCTCTGTCAGAGCTGTCCTTGAAAAAAGAGCTCTCTCAGCCCCACCTGAAAAAAGAGCTCTCTCAGCCCCACCTGCCTCACAGGGCACACCCAGGGAGGGGAAGGGAAAGGAGTTTGTCAGCCGCTCTGAGACTCCTTCGGGTAGTGAAGGGCAGGGTATAAATCCAATCTCTTCCTCTTCTTTTACCTCACAGGGTGTCTGTCGTGGGGAGGGGAAGGGAAAAGAGTTTGTAAACCATTCTGAGACTCCCTTGGTTAGTGAAGGGCGGAGTATAAATCTAATCTCCTCCTCCTCCTCTTTCTTCTTCAGCAGTTATCTCAGAGTTCTCTCAGCCCCCACCTACCTCACAGGGTGTCTGTTGTGGGGAGAGGAAGGGAAGGCGATTGTCAGCCACTCTGAGACTCCAACTGAAGGGCAGGGTATAAATCCAATCTCCTCTTCTTCTAGTATGAGACAGTTTAATGTATTTACACATGTTCATTGTTTTGGCTTCATGCCATGCAGGCGGAGTCTCGGGCGGGTTACGCATCCACTTCCTGTTCCGTTAAGATGGTCCGTTGTTAGGAGGGACAGCCATGGGGAAAGTCTGCATTTTTGGTCATTATTCCGCTCTGTCTTTCTTTAGACAGCGGGAATCTCCCCGCAATCCGCCTGGACACCGTCAGCACAGAAGAATTCCTGGACGTGATCGCTCACACCAAGCCCTCGGCGAAGAACTTGAGTCAAAAATACACGGCCTGGCAAAGAGAATTTGAGTCCGCCTGAGCCGGACCTGGACTCTGGAACCTTCCTCAAAGGCTTCAGCCACCCACAAAGAAAGAATCTCCGGTGGGGTTCAGCAACCGAGAGACTGGATACTTCTAAGTTAATGTGCTGTCTGAAAGCAAGAAGGCCCTTTGGGGGAGTGGAATGGGCCAACCCCTTCTTGGAGGCTAATTATTGATGGCAGAGGACTCTTGCCAGCTGTGCTTTATGGAACCTCGAGCTGGTTACTCTTTTTTTAAAAAAAAAGACTACTAGTTATTTTCACCTAAATCCAGCTGTCAACGTTAACATTTCATCCAGCCACCGCCCAGCACTGAACTTGGACTAGAATTCCGCAAGGGGAGCTGCCCCCTCCTTACAACAACACTACACATCTTTCTCGGGGGAGAGGAGGAGCTTTGGGAGCCAGATGTGGCAGATGTTCTGCAGGACGTCTCAGGGATTCTTATATTAAACCAGCAGATTTCAATCAGAACTGACATTAACAAAGAATAAAACTCTTTTGGACTTCTCGCTGGAGAGTCGTTGGGGGGTGTTATTTGATGATATCGATGTTGCTGTTCTTGTCGGGGTGCTGGAGAATTCCAGGCAGGCGTCTCCAAAGTTATTTTCTTTCCAAGGAAAGGTCGCCGGAGTCTTACAGGCTAACTAGAGTTAACTAGACGAGCTCTAGGCCAAAGGGACAGTTTGGATCAGGAAAAACAAATAGCAGGGAAGTGTTAGCCGAACTGCTTTATCTACAACAGCTGGCAGACTAAATTTATATGGGTTCCTGCCTGTGTATACTGAAGTCCAGTCTACCCCAAGGATTTCCCAGTAAATGAGTCAAGACTGGTGAATTCAAAACAATCTGTCTTTTACTTAAGAATATATCAAAATCACATTCAAACGATACAGATGCATACACACATTTAATCAAGTTTCCTTTAGAATTACAGTAATAGAAATAGTTCTTTCTACTTAGGAGGTAGGTAGGTTGTAGTTCATACTTATCTGTCCTGAAGCCTTGTCTGTTGCAATGATGAATGAAGGGTATAGAAAACAGAACCTAGGGATGTTTCTAAATCACACTGCTAGAACAAGGCAGTGAGTGTGGACCTCTTAGCTGCGTATACCAAGAGATCAAGTAAAGACAAAAAGGGTTGTGGGATAGCAAGCTGGACATTAGGGGGTAAAAGCAGACAGGGGGTGATGGAGGGTTTGCGGGTAGCAAAAGACCAAGCACATGGTCCTTAGCTTTTATAGGTGAATCTTTGGGTGGGGGGCAACCTTGCCAATCTGAAGATCCACCTACCTGTAAGTCCGTACCATCCCTACAACTATTGGTGCGTGTAAGAACATAAGAACATAAGAGATGCCAATGTTGGATCAGGCCAAAGGCCCATCCAGTCCAACACTCTGTATCACACAGTGGCCAGAAATACCAGTGCCACCAGTCCACCAGTGGGGCCAGGACATTAGACGCCATCCCACTGTTGACCCCCCCAAGCGTCACAACCCTGAGTCAGGGGTGGTTACTTAGGGTTTGGTCAATATTGAAACTCTAACCTCTAACTCAGGGGAAAACCATCTGATCAAGTGTGAAGTCTTGGCGTCAAGGAACCTCCTTGATGTGCAGATAAATCTGGGCTTTCCCAGGTAATCAAAGCACATCTGCCAGGAAATGGCCTTTCAGATGTAGAGTAGATAGGTGTAGGACGTGTATTCCCACAGTACATCAATGGGGGATTGCTTGTCCTTAAGCGGTTGTTTCTGCTAACCACAATGGCGATGGCGTGCTTTCCCTCCAGGCTAGGAGCTGTGTATTTGCATGCTTCATTAACATGAAATGCAGGCAGGCACCTTCTATGTGTATCAGTCACAACAGGTGATTCAAGCAACTTCCTTTGAGCCTAAGGGTGTATATGTGTGCACAATCCATGTAGTATGTGTGTCAGCAAAGATAAATCCATAAAAAGCAAAGATCAGTCTCAATTCTCAACAGAAGGGGTTAAGTGCCCCTCCATCCCATATTGCTCCAGTCCAGTTCCAAGCAGTGCTCCCTCTAAGCCGTGGAGTCCTGTGAGCAAAAATTCCACTATGCGAGCTACTGGGCATGAAAGTCGTGAGCGAGCGATTTGGCCGCTGCATACATTAGTCGGCTCTGGAGCCGTCCCTTCCTGAGCTGAGATAAAAATGTGTGAGCCGGAGGCCAAAAAAACGGTGAGGTAGCTCACACTGACTCAGTTTAGAGGGAACATTGGTTCCAAGCCCCTGCGGATGGCCCAGGCTGGCCGGATCTCGACAGATCTCGGAAGCTAAGCAGGGCCGGCCCTGGTTAGCTCTTGGATGGGAGACCAACCAAGGAAGTTGCAGAGGCAGGCAAGGGCAAACCACTCCTGAGCATCTCGTGAAAACCCAACAGGGTTGCCATGTCAGCTGCTACTTGATGGCACTTCTCATAAGAACATAAGAGAAGCCACTGTTGGATCAGGCCAATGGCCCACCCAGTCCAACACTCTGTGTCACACAGTGGCCAGAAATACCAGGTGCCACCAGGAGGTCCAGCAGTGGGGCCAGGACACTACAAGCTCCCCCCACTGTTGCCCCCACGCCAAGCACCAAGAATACAGAGCATCACTTGCCCCAGACCGAGAGTTCCTATCTATACCTTAAGAACTCCTAAATAGCATTCCATTCTTATATGCATCCTAATTCCTTCTACGGAGGCTTCTCATACACAGAAATGCAGATATAAAATATATCTTCTGCTATACGTTTCTCTAATCAAAAGATTCTAGGTTACATCCCAAAATCTGGATCTATTATGATTAAACTTTTGAAGGCACAGTGACAGCTGTCAATATACATCAAGGAGTGAGTGTCAGAAATCACATTAATAAATCACATTCTTTTCCCCTTTTCCTACAGTATTGTCTACTCTGACTGGCAGCAGCTCTTCAGGGTGTCAAACAGAGGTCTTTCACATCCCCTATCTCCCTATCCTTTTTCCTGGAGATGCCAGGGATTGAACCAGCAACCTTCTGTGTGCAAAGCTGAGGCTCTTCCACTGAGCCACAGCACCTGCCCTGGTAGAGTAGACTGCATCACCTTAGGTACAGGATCACATTTGGGGAAATTATCCTATGTTTAAAATAGTAGACATACAGCACAGTGTACAGAACTTTTCTCCTTCCTGTGGTACGTTTCTATGAGCCAAAGAATCTTCAGGACTGGGATCCAGCCAAAGCAAAAGACCGAGAGTTCCTATCTATACCTTAAGAACTCCTAAATAGCATTCCATTCTTATATGCATCCTAATTCCTTCTACGGAGGCTTCTCATACACAGAAATGCAGATATAAAATATATCTTCTGCTATACGTTTCTCTAATCAAAAGATTCTAGGTTACATCCCAAAATCTGGATCTATTATGATTAAACTTTTGAAGGCACAGTGACAGCTGTCAATATACATCAATGAGAGAGTGTCAGAAATCACATTCAGGGATCACATTCTGGTTTTATGGCGACCACAGAGCGTTTTCAAGGCAAGAGATTAGCAGAGGTGGTTTGCCATGGCTTGCCTCTGTGTAGCAACCCTGGTATTCCTTGGCGGTCTCCCATCCAAGAACCAACCAGGGCTGACCCTGCATCTGAGATCTGACGAGTTTGGGATAGCCTAGGCTACCCATCTCAGGGGCCCTAAACTTTAGGCTAATCCAACTAATGTTTTCCTAAAGCTGAGTCGGTATGGCTAAAACAGCATCCAAACATTTTCCTTTTTAAAAATTCGCATTCTGTATTTTGAAGCGTTCGGACAAAATTAAGCACCGCCGAGTACTTCCTCATTCAATAGTCCAGCTTTAAGCTTGTGCTTAATGCTTCCTGGGAAAGAAAAGTGCTTAGCTTTGGCTGGAGCGTCGTCTTTGTTTGCGAGACAATTTCGGATCTGCGTGCCGAATTCCCGCGTAGCTCAGTTCGGCCACTTTATAATCCTTTCCCTTCCCAGAAAGAGAGCCGTCGTTCGTTAGCGAACCCGCTCTTTCAATAAAGCCGACGCACCAAATGCAACCTAATAGTTTAATACTCGGGAGCACCGTAAAATAACCGTAAAGGGTTTCTATTCTTACGGTTTTGCAAAAAGCCCAGGAAAAAAAAAGCCATTTACTGTCATTACAAAACTTACCTCATTCTGGTGCTATTAACGTTTACACTAAGGACAGGGCATTAACGTGGGGGATTTGTCCCTATGGTTACCCACGGATGTTCCCCCTCTGTGTTAGGAAACCAGGAGGGGACACCTCCCCTCCCCTCCCCTCCCCGCAGCAAACCAATGAGACCTGACAACCATCCTGTTAACAGGGCCCTGGTGAAGTCTAACTTTCAGAACGGTACAGTCTGCTAAGCCATTACAGACCACTTATTTCTTTCCGAGCCGTTCCTGTTAATAACATCACCTAATTAAAACATCTGTAAAAAACCCAATTGTTTTTAATTTTGCATAAACTTTTGAGCAGCAGCCATCTCCTTTATTAACAGACTGGCAGAGACTCAGCCAGAACAACTGTTAGGAATAGAAACGGGGGAGAACCCTGCTATTTAAGATTCAGAGCCGCTATCTTTAAACTGGATCAGGAGGAAGATAGAAACTTCCCCGGTAACTAATCTATATAAAAAACAATTACTATTTTATGTCACGGGCTCTCCTGAAACAGTAGAAAAGAGCAATAGTCCAGTAGCACTTTAAAGACCAACAACATTTGTGGCAGGGGACGAGCTTTCGCGAGTCATAGAGTTGGAAGGGACCTCCAGGGTCATCTAGTCCAGCCCCCTGCACAAGGCAGGAAATTGACAAATATCTCCCCACCACACCTTCAGTGACTCCTGTCCCTAGCCCAGAAGATGGCAAAAACAAAAATAACTCCAGGATCCCCGGCCAAACTGGCCTGGAGAAAAATTGCTTCCCAACCCCCAAGTGGCGATCAGCATTTCCCTGGGTGTGTAAGAAAGGGCCATGAG